GCTCAGCTTGTTCCCCACTTCCTATCACATGTGGGGCCTGGCATGGGCTGGGCCGTGTCATCACCAGCTGCTTCCCACCCTCCCGCCAGCGATGGGCCATGTCATCTCCAACGGCCTCCTGCTGATTGGCACCGGGACCTCAGTGAGGCTGGACAGAGAGCTGGCCCAGGCCCTGAAGACGATGGTGGAGAATTCGAAAACCCAGCCGCTGACGCAGCGGGAGCGGCTGCACGTGTCTGCGGTGGAGAAGTTCGCCAAGGGGTGAGGGGCCTCCCTGGCCAGGGCTGGCGTGGGGGCTGCGTGATGCCGCAGGCTGCCCCACCCCCGTGGGAAGGGGACCAGGGGGGATTCTCACGCTGCTTTGTGGCACTCGTCCTGCTGGCCACTCTGTTCTGGTCCCTGCCCAGTGACGAGGCTTTGGCCAGAGTTCCCAGTTAAGCATTCAGAGAACCTAATTTTGTTTCGTTAAATAAATAATCAGAAAAATAACTGAACCAATCACAGAATGACCTAAGGGAGAGAAGAGGAAGGAAAACATTGACTGGGTCCTCCTTACCCTGACGGGCCCCTGTGAGCCTGTCCTCCTCCTTCCAGGCCCTCCTGCCCACCCTGTCCCTGTCTTGTGTGGTCATTCTGACCCTGGAATGCTCCTGCCAAACAGCCCGAGTTTGCTCAGGCAGTGAGGTGCCCTGCTGGGCTCAGTGACCTGAGCTGATTGGACCGAGGTTCCGAAGCAGTGACAGTTCTAGTGAGCCAGGGCCTGGCACACTGGTGCCGGTGTGTAATTCTGCCTGGGAGACGTCCTGCAGCTGCTCCTGGTCACAGGTGAAGTCGTTGGCAATTTCTTAAACCATTTTTTTATTTGAACTAGAGAGAGAAATTTCCCATGGAATTTTAGTTTTCTCAGCCATCACCTAATGATGTTGTTGTTGGGTGTGGTCAAGTCGTCTCTCACTCGTGGTGACCTTGTGTACAACAGTACGAAACACTGTCCGGTCCTGTGCCAGCTGACGTTGTTATGTGCCCTTGAGTCGGATCCGACTCATAGCAACCCCTCCTTGGGTTTCCGAGGCAGTATCACTATGGAAGTAGATTGCCCCATCTTCCTTCCGAGGGGTGGCTGGTGGGTTTGTACTGCCAGCCTTCTGGTTAGCAGTCAAATGCCTTAGGCACTATGCTACCAGAGCTCCTGCCAGCTAACATAGGAACTGATATTTTTAACCAATTCAGTGCCGAACATGACACTGGTGAGACATGGTGCCTCTCTGCTGTGTGTGGACTGTGTGTTCAATGTTGTGGAGACATTTCTTGTGGTTTCCAGGAACTTTCCGGAAGCCTGTGATCTGTGGGAACAGATTCTCCGGGACCATCCAACGGATATGCTGGCCCTGAAATTTTCCCACGATGCCTACTTCTACCTGGGCTATCAGGAGCAGATGCGGGACTCCGTGGCTCGAGTTTACCCCTTCTGGACACCTGACGTCCCCCTCAGCAGGTACGTGCCAGTGGGAAAGCACGTCATTTCTGTTTGCTGCTTTCTTTTTTAACTAATTGATTTTGTCTTCTGTTGTTATTGACAATATACACAGCAGAACATAACACCATTCCAACAGGTTCTCTCCATGGACCTTTTGGTGACACTGTGATGAGTCTCCACCCTTAGAGCTGTGCACATACTCTCAATCCCCTAAGCTCAATTCTGAGCTGTTCCTCCTCCATTAACATAAACTCACTGTCCTCTAAGCCTCCTCTCTGACTTTTCGAGTTGCTGTTACCAATTTGATCCCATTTGATAGATCTTAAAAGAACATGATGCTCAGGGGTAACATTCTTTACTAAAACAACTCACTGCCATCCCATCCACTCTGACCCACAGAGCCCCAGAGGACAGAGTGGATCTGCCCACAGGGTCTCCAAGGCTGTCAGTCTTCACAGAAGCAAAGCCCAAACCACACCCACTGCCCTGGAGTCCATTCTGACCCACAGCGCCCCTAGAGGACAGAGTGGAACTGCCCACAGGGTCTCCAAGGCTGTCAGTCTTCACAGAAGCAAAGCCCA